TGCCTGGTTACGGAAAATTTTTTTTGCTACCAAGATGGAAATGGTACAAAAGATAGAAAGCTTAAGAAACCTCTTAATAAAAACTATGAAAATTGGTGGTTATCTTTACGGCGTTGATATCACTGAAGTCAGTGATCTCACACGAGAACTAAACAGCAACCTCAACACCATAAGAGACCAGTCCTTCACTGTGGACGATATTAATCAATACAGACACTCACTGTTGTTTGACAACCTCCGAGCAATACTTTGTGTTGATGGCGTCCAGGAATTAAAAGAAACTTACAGTAAGAAAATTTACGTCAATCCTGTCTCATTCCTAGATGACAGTGAATGTTTTCTCCAAGTAAAAGCAGTATTCATTTGCCTTCTCCTTAAACATAACGATAACAAGAGATGCTCGATAGTTAAGTACGAAGATCTATTGGAGTACAGTGACTCGACTGCTAATGTGGCTCCAGTAGGCGAGGAGATGCCTTCCATGTTGCTTGTTGAAGGATGTGTGGGTAGTGGCAAGACAACCTTACTTAAGCTTCTCATCTCTGAGTGGGTCGCTTGCACCGGCTCCATTAAGGGTCTTTCTGAGTACGACCTCATCCTGCACTTGGAGTGCCGAGACTCCTTCACTGATTCCCTCACAAAGCTGCTAGTGTCTGACATGCCTGAGACAGTATCAAAGGTTCGTAGAAATGACTTACTTCATATTGCATTGAGCCTCAAAATTTTAGTCTTGATAGATGGGTTAGACGAACTCAATATGTCATCAGAGAATTTCCTTAGCGAAATCCTCCATATCATGACTTCTACAAATATATCTTTAGTATGTACAACGAGACCAGAGAAGATCAAAGATATCCAAAAGATGGCTTCGGGTAAAGTGAAAATCGTACACTTAAAAATACTTGGAATTCCTCATGAGAAGAGGGAGGATTTTTTGGGAGTATACCACGAGGAGCTGAAACAGAGAGGCCTGAGTCAGCAAGACACAAAGTCACTGATACAGTACATAAACCAAGCACCAACTCACGTGCAAGGTTTTCTCAGCAGTCCTCTGAACCTTGTGCTTCTAGTGTTTATCTGGGCCAGAGCACACGAGAGGATTAGTCGTGTAACTTCCAGCACAACGCTGTATATAGAGATACACAATCTTCTGAAGGAGAAGTTGTATGAAAGACTGAAACACAACCCCGTATCGCAACATTTGACACTCACAGAGATTGAAGAGAAGTGCCAACACTTCTTGAGTGCCATATATCAAGAAGCACTAAATTCCCTGAGTAGGGGCGAGGTTTATCTGGATTTGAAAATTACTCGCAAACTAAAGGATCTGTGTTCCAAGTTGGGTCTCCCTTCAGAGGAATTATTTTCAGCCTTTTTGACACTTAGGTCAATCAAAACTCCATCTGGGCTCGTGAGTGAGCTACATTTTCCACATAAAGGAATTCATGACTTTTATGCAGCCAACTGGGTGGCATCATTGATTACAGAAACTCCTTTCACAGGAGATGATGAATTTATGAATGAACTTAACATCTTTTTCCGTCAAATGAAAGTACCAGATTACCATAGTCGCCAAGTAAAGTTGTTATTAACTGAGCTAGGGAAGCCGCGTACCATACGTAGTGTTCTTGAAGAACTTCACCAAGGTTGCAAAAATACCTTGGATAACAGCAAATATCGAAATGTTCTCTATAATTTAGCTGGTCTTGTGAAAATTCTAATTCCTGACGGAATGGAGAAGTACGCCAGGGAGATCGTCGAGCTTCTGAAGGAGTCGGCAAACACGCCATTTGATTATCTAGTAAATATGCTGAAGGAGGCTGACTTTGACATAAATCTGGCAAAAGAAATCTCGAAATATGTTCCAAAGTTTTACTGGACTGTAACAGATGAGCATGTACAGGCAGCCACCAGACTTTTATGCTATGATTGTCCCTACCAGCTAACCATCGACATCTCTGGTGACCCAAGCAAGGTGGTGGAGCTAGACAGCTTACTGGAGGTGGTGTCCGGCTGCAGCTGTTCAGTAACTCTGTACCTCCATTATCACTGGCGATATCCACGTTCTGGCCTCTCCGACACCTTCCTCCGCCACCTAAGGACAGAACTATCTCTGGCAAGCACGTCACACAGTGATGCTGGTGCATCACGAGATGACCTACACATACCAGCACATGATGCCTCAGGTCAGGGGTCACAGGATGACCTGCTTACACTAAGCTATGATCCCATGGATCAAGGGTCACGTGATGACCTACACATACCAGCCCATGATGCCTTAGGTCAGTGGTCACATGACGACCTGCGCACACCACCCTCTCCTATCATAAGGTCGCATGATGACTCGCACACTCCTGATGCTGCAGCGACTTCTGTCAAGTCAAAGACTGACCTAACAGCGTTGCATACTCACTCCAGGGATGACCTCTTCTCGGGTCAAAAGTCAGCCGTTGATCAGCCACCCCAACGAGTAAGGTTAGTCTTATTCCATACACTGAATTATTATTATTATTATTATTATTATTATTATTATTATTATTATTATTATTATTATTATTATTATTATTTTTATTATTATTATTAAACTGAGCTGTCAACGTGTTACAAGGTCTCTGTTCTCCGGTAAGAATGTTGTTTCAACTGAGTTACTGTTCATGCATTTCTTTCCGAGTTAACAGTCTAAAACAGTTAATAATTCTTATCCTCGGTTAGATTTTGTTAACGAATATTAACCTGTACGTATTTACCAAATTTTAGGCAGTAGGTTGGTAGACAGCAGCCGCCCAGGGAGGTACTACCGTCCTGCCAAGTGAGTGTAAAACGAAAGCCTGTAATTGTTTTACATGATGGTAGGATTGCTGGTGTCTTTTTTCAGTCTCATAAACATGCAAGACTTCAGGTACGTCTTGCTACTTCTACTTACACTTAGGTCACACTACGCATGTACAAGTGTCGCGTGGGTACTTAATGGAGATGTAGGAGTAAGGAATACACTCGTTGGACGGTTGGTACACGTATATTGGCACAGTTGTGAGGGGAGGGCAGCCCAGCCTACCTGTTCAGTTGTATGCCTGAGGTGGCCCGGTGGTCTGGTGGCTAAAGCTCCCGCTTCACACACGGAGGGCCCGGGTTCGATTCCCGGCGGGTGGAAATTCCGACACGTTTCCTTACACCTATTGTCCTGTTCACCTAGCAGCAAATAGGTACCTGGGTGTTAGTCGACTGGTGTGGGTCGCATCCTGGGGGACAAGATTAAGGACCCCAATGGAAATAAGTTAGACAGCCCTCGATGACGCACTGACTTTCTTGGGTTATCCTGGGTGGCTAACCCTCCGGGGTTAAAAATCCGAACGAAATCTTATCTTATCTTATCTTATGGAGTGAGAGCAAGACCACTCCTACCCTACTCACATGGGTATAGCCTGGTGACGTCACAAACTAGCCACTGAGCCTAGCTGAAGGGATCCTATTTTATATATATATATATTATATATATAATATATATTATATATATATATATATATACATGGATGATAAAAACTTACGATATACTACACAAGTAATTTAGTAATCCTACTGACAGAAGCATATATACACACACCCCTCTGGGTTTTCTTAGATTTTCTTAATAGTTCTTGTTCTTGTTCTTGTTTATTTCCTCTTATCTCCAAAGGGAAGTGGAACAGATTTCTTCCTCCGTACGCCATGAGTGTCGTAAGAAGTGACTAAAATGCCAGGAGCAAGGGGTTAGTAACCCTTTCTCCTGTATACATTATTAAAGTTAAAAAGATAAACTTTTGTTTTTCTTTTTGGGCTACCCTGCCTCGGTGGGATACGGCCGGTTTGTTGAAAGAAGATTTACCAAACTGCTTATCAGTTAATATTAGCCTATTTTATTACATATGTTGGGGACGGCTGGGAAATGAAGCAATCATGTTCAATCCAAGGAAGGAGAGAATAGTTTAAGTTCCTATAATCAAGAGTTGTTATATGGATCTTCTGCATTTCTCTTTAGGTCACTATTTCCTGAAGCTGCTCGGACAGAGTTATTATGTAAATTCTTCAACATTAATGCTTGACGAAATAAAAACACACTGACAACTTCCTTTACGCCAGTTGAGGCCCCAAATTTAATCGTCAGTGGTATTTTAATTATGGTGTACAGTGTATACTATTTTATAGTCTTGGAGAGTATACAGCGGCTGAGGGATCGGAAGTAAACCATTCTTGATCCTAGAAAGGGAGAGTGTACCTCCAGTTCACTGAATCAAGAGTACTTCATCAGCATCAAGGAGTTCCTTTGAAGGATACAAGACTTTAGGAAACCGTGTTGATGTCACTCTATACTCTCAGCAGAAGACATGTTATGTGAGTACAGATAGGTACGTCTGTCTGGCTCTCAGCAGACGGAGAATCAAGCCTCCACCACTTCTTGCGCTGAATGACCCATATAGGTTTATCGCTTAACATTTATACACCCAGCGGTCACTCCCTCTGTATGTGTATGTGTACTCACCTAATTGTACTCACCTAATTGTACTCACCTATTTGTGGTTGCAGGGGTCGACTCACAGCTTCTGGACCCGCCTCTTCGCTGGTCGCTACTAGGTCCACTCTCTCCCTGCTCCATGAGCTTTATCGTATCTCTTGTTAAAACTATGTATGCATCCTGCCATCTGTATATCACTTTCCAGATTCTTCCACTTCCTGACAGCTCTGTGACTGAAGAAATACTTCCTAATATCCCTATGACTTACGTGAGTTTTCAGCTTCCAGCTGTGACCCCTTGTTATTGTGTCCCATCTCTGAGATATTCTGTCCCTATCCACTTTGTCAATCCCTCTCAGTATTTTATATGTTGTTATCATGTCTCTCCTGTCCTCCAGTGTCGTCAGGCTGATTTCCCTTCACCTCTCCTTAACTTTAGCTCCGGGATTAGTCTGGCTGCAAACCTTTGCACTTTCTCTAATTTATTGACGCGCTTGACCAGATGTGGGTTCCAAACTGATTCTGTATACTCCAATATGGGCCTGACGTACACGGTGTACAATCCTGAACGACTCCTTATTCAGGTATCGATACGCTATTCTTAGGTTTGCCAGATGCCTAGATGCTGCAACAGTTATTTGGTTGATGTGAGCTTCAGGAAATCTGCCTGGTATTATATTCATCCCAAGACCATTTTCCTTGAGTGAGGGTTTGCAGTCTTTGGCCCCCTAGCCTGTACTCTATCTGCGGTCTTCTTTGGCCTTCCCCAATCTTCATGACTTTGCACTTGGTGGGGGTTAAGCTCCAAGAGCCAGTTGGATCAGGCTTGCAGCCTCACAGATCCGTTTGTAGTCCTACTTGATCCTTATCCACTTGAATTCTCCTCATTAGCTTCACTTCATCTGCAAACAGGGACACTTCTGAATCCTTTCCGTTATGTCATTCATATATACCAGAAACAGCACCGACCCTAGGACTGACCCTTGTGGAACCCCGCTCGACATAAGCGCCAACTCTGACACCTCGTCACATACCATCACTTGTTGTTTCCTTCCTGTCAGGTATTCCCTGATGCTTTCCTGATATTCCTGCCTGCTCCTCTAGCTTTTGTACTAATCTCTTGTTTGGAACTCTGTTGAAAGCCTTCTTACAGTTCAAGAAAATGCAGTCTACTCATCCCTCCCTCTCCTGGCTTAGTTCTGTCACCTTGTCGTGAAACTCCAGTAGGTTTGTGACACAGGATGTCCTCCACCAGTCTTTCCCTGATATGCTTCTCCACGACTGTGTGTGTGTGTGTGTGTGTGTGTACTCATCTAATTGTGGTTGCAGGGGTCGAGACTCTTCACTGATCGCTACTAGGTCCTCTCTCTCTCTGCTTCCTGAGCCATGTCATACCTCTTCTTAAAGCTATGTATGGTTCCCTCCACTACATCACTTGCTAGTCTATTCCACTTCATGACTACTCTATTGCTGAAGAAATACTTCCTAACATCCCTGTGACTCGTCTGAGTCTTCAGCTTCCATTTGTGACCTCTTGTTCTGTGTCCCCTCTCTGGAACATCCTGTCTCTATCCACCTTATCTATTCCACGCAGTATTTTGTATGTCATTATCATGTCTTCCCTGACCCTCCTGTCCTCCAGTGTCGCCAGTCCGATTTCCCTCAACCTTTCTTCGTAGGACATTCCCCTGAGCTCCGGAACTAGCCTTGTTGCAAACCTTTGCACTTTCTCTAATTTCTTGACGTGTTTGACCAGGTGTGAGTTCCAAACTGGAGCTGCATACTCCAGTATGGGTTTGATGTACACAGTGTACAGTGTCTTGAACGATTCCTTACTAAGGTACCAGAACGCTGTTCTCAGGTTTGCCAGGCGCCTGTGTGCTGCAGCAGTTATCTGGTTGATGTGTGCCTCCGGAGACATGCTCGGTGTTATGGTCACCCTAAGATCTTTCTCCTTGAGTGAGGCTTGTAGTCCTTGGCCACCTAGTCTATACTCTGTCTGAGGTCTTATTTGCCCTTCTCCGATCTTCATGACTTTGCACTTGGCAGGGTTGAAATCAAGAAGTCAGTTGCTGGACCACGTGCCCAGCCTGTCCAGGTCTCTTTGAAGTCCTGTCTGGTTCTCATCTGATTTAATTCTCCTCATTAACTTCACATCATCTGCGAGCATGTCATTCACATATACCAGAAATAGCGCTGGTCTTAGGACCGACCCCTGTGGGACCCCGCTCGTCACAGGTGCCCACTGTGATACCTCATCCCGTACCATGACTCGTTGTTGCCTCCCTGTCAGGTATTCTCTGATCCATTGCAATGCCCTTCCTGTTATACGCGCCTGATCCTCTAGTTTCTGCACTAGTCTCTTGTAAGGAACTGTGTCGAAGGTCTTCTTGCAGTCCAAGAAAATGCAGTCAACCCACCCCTCTCTCTCGTGTCGCACTTCTTTAACTTTGTCATAGAACTCCAGAAGATTTGTGACACAGGATTTGCCTTCCATGAATCCGTGATGGTTATCATTTATAATCTTGTTCCGTTCCAGGTGTTCCACCACTCTCCTGATAATCTTCCCCATGACTTTGCATACTATACAGGTCAGTGACACTGGTCTGTAATTTAGGGTCTCTTTTCTGTCTCCTTTTTGTGTGTACTCACCTATTTGTGGTTGCAGGGGTCGAGTCCTAGCTCCTGGCGCCCCGTGTGTGTGTGTGTGTGTGTACTCACCTAGTTGTACTCACCTAGTTGAGGTTGCAGCTCCTGACCCCGCCTCTTCACTGGTCGCTACTAGATCACACTCCCTGAACCGTGAGCTTTATCATACCTCTGCTTAAAGCTATGTATTAATCCTGCCTCCACTACATCGCTTCCCAAACTATTCCACTTCCTGACTACTCTGTGGCAGAAGAAGTACTTCCTAACATCCCTGTGATTCATCTGTGTCTTCAACTTCCAACTGTGTCCCCTTGTTGCTGTGTCCCATCTCTGGAACA